AGGTTAGCATAGACTGACCGATCATGTGATTAGGGAAGTGATGCTTTAGAAGAACAAAATGCCCCTTTGTAGCTTTCAACCATTGTCAACTTCCAACCTTCTTAGCTGCTTGCCACCGTCGATTATTGCCCCTATCTCCATCTGTCGTTGCCGACCACCAGTCATCGACGACCACTGCTTGCAACTGTTGTAGAGATACTACAACTATTGTTGAATTTCTTAGCATTTGTATTTTTTGAGTTATATAAAGACAAGTGTAGTTTTTTATTACAAGATTGTAACCTCATTCTTCCTGTTGTGAGAGAAGAATGTACTCCTCTTTTTATAAACATATAGTGTATTATGTTAACTGGGCGAGGCCCCTTATATTTTTCCCTCTCAGAATTTTTTCATGTAATAATTCTACCGTCTCCTTTTGCTATATTTTTTTATCTATGTGTGTATTAAATTTCGTAAAACGTTAAGACTACAAATCCCTACTCTATCGCTGTGAATTTTCCTCCTAATCTATCGCTGTGAATTTTCCAGCACTTAACATACCTGAAGAAATATATATAGGATATTTGCGTATAAACATTATGGATTTAATCCTAACAAAATTAGTTGCCCTACTCTATCGCTGTGAATTTTCCGGCACTCAACATACCTGAAGAAATATATATAGGATATTTGCTTGTAAACATTATGGATTTAATCCTAACAAAATTAGTTGCAAATTTTGCAAAATTTAAAATAACTATATATTTGATTACAAGATAGATATTGTTAAAGCTCGATTAGCAAAAAAAATAATGAATATATTGATGCCTATGACATTGGGACGTTTACTAAATGTTTTCTAACTATTTTTCAAGTTGTTTTTCATGTTATTAAAAATAATGCTTTGAGTTACTTAATATGTTTGCTAAATTAGTTTCCAATATAGTGCTCAAGCCTAAGCATCAATTAATTTGCTATTCACACCGCTAAGCATTCTAATGACTCTAATGGCCTTTACATGACAAATTCAGCCCCAATTGATCATCATACTTCGTTCCTAAACCTCTCATCTATCTCTATAAATGATTTGATATCTCGTATGAAAATCATCATTAATTCTCAAACCTAAAATCACTAATTATAAACATTAGTACCTTCAATTACACGCATGTTATAATCAAAATTAGCTCGAGTTTGTCATAGGCTTTTGAGGCCAGCAACAATCTCTTCTTTATCGGAACCGTTCCTTAATTAGTCCTTCATAGCTTCATTTATTTTGTCACCATGAAGGATCTATCTAGCTTATTTACCATTTTTTTTCTTCCTCATGCTTTAATTCTTCTAGGATCTTCCTCGAACGTTTCCAACTCATCCATGGTTGGATACTCCAGAAGGACAGGCAACCCTCCGACGTGTCCTTGTTGGTTATTCTTTCCGAGATTCTGAAGTCGGATATTGTCAGGTAACAAAATTTATGGCATTACTTTCCTTGATTGCCTTCACTAGGGATAGCAATCGGCTGTATTTTATACTCTAAATTGTATAACATTGCAGGGTTTGAATTATGTGGCTGCATTGCTGTTGCTAGTAATGCAAACAGAAGAGGACGCCTTTTGGATGCTTGCTGTCCTTCTGGAAAATGTCTTGGTGAATGATTGCTACACTGATAATCTCTCTGGATGCCATGTTGAGCAGAGGGTGTTCAAAGACTTGCTTGCTAAAAAATGTCCAAGGTTTATTTATTACCTTTTTTTTCTAGAGGGTTTATTCTGTAAGAAATTTTTTGTTGAAGTTCTTTTGGTTGTGGTCAATGTTGTATGATATGTATTTTTATGGTGCAAATAAAGCAGGATTGCTGCGCATTTGGAGGCTATAGGGTTTGATGTATCACTAGTAGCCACTGAGTGGTTCCTGTGCCTTTTCTCTAAGTGTTTACCCTCAGAGGTTAGATAAAAGTTTTATAATATCAGAAGAGTTGATATTATTTGCACCATATTAGAATTTATGATTTAGATTATGGTAATTCAAATTCTTCATTTTTTATGGATTGCTAGAGGTTGCGTGAACAATGGCTATAACTCTGAAATCATTTTTTGATTCATCCATTTATTATCATTATGAAATAATCAAATACAAGAACATAAAACTCAATCCAAGTAAATCTAGATTGTTGATCTAATTCTATTGTTAACCGTACATACAGAATAAGGCAATCAAATGGAATGTCAATCAAATATAAATTAATTGTTATAAGTAAATTAATAACACTACTATTGCGCTGACTTTTGTAAGAAAAAGAATTGAAGCACCTATCTTCAATTATTCATTCCAGTTCAATATGCCCATGGTCTTCATCTGTGCACACTCATATTTTGTTATAAACTTGTTCTATTGCATTTTTTTTTTCTATCCAAATTTTACAAAATTTAATTGATTACTATTTTAGGATGCCATTTGCAATTTTTTTTTCTATCCAAATTTTGCAAAATTTAATTGATTACTATTTTAGGATGCCATTTCAAACAGAGATTTTTCTTTTTGGCATTTGTGTATTGTCTTCTCTATTATGTTGAACCCTCTCTTGGTTTTCTTAGACTCTCTCTAAGTAGGAGATTCTATTAGTCTATTAGCTTCACACTAATTTGAATTTTGGAATAATTTTTAGGAAATCGATAACTTTACTTTCTAGAGTTTTGCCATCAATGTTATAATGGAATTTCAAAACTGCAAAAATCATATAGAACTTAATAGTCCACACTAATCAATCTAGACTACTAATCTATGTTAACCATACGAATTAAAGGAAAAAGAATACTCACAATCGAATTTAATAATTCCCATTTAAGGTGATAAGGTTCCTTGAATTGCGATGATGAATCATATACCGAAAATGTCATCAAAAGATAGAGATAATGATCCTCGAAACTTCATTGTAATGTGTAATGTATAGTTCTCTATCAATTTATTTTTATAGAACACATACAATGAATAAAATTTGTCTCAGGATGGGCATACAAATTATTAAATGTTCTTTGAGTTTAGTGCGTCATGTTAAGATTTTATATTCTTACACTAATCTCAAAGCTCATTCTACAATTTTTAAGCCCATCTTGGTACAATTTGTATCCGGATATCCTGTCACAATTTTTTTCCACATAAAATCAAATTAACTCTTTTCTCCGGTTAATGAATATGTAGACGACCATGCGGGTTTGGGATGTCCTTTTCAATGAGGGAGCAAAGGTTCTTTTCCAGGTAGCTCTAGCAATCTTCAAGGTTTGTAAATAAAAAAGCTCATATGTTTTCCACTATGACAATTTGAGAATTCAAGTGGTTTCTATATAATTGGTCTGTTACTAAATTTAACAGTCATATTTCAGATGAAGGAGGAGGAGCTGCTGACTGCCCATCAAATTGGAGATGCTATCAACATCTTGCAAGCCGCCAGCCATCATCTTTATGATCCAGATGAATTATTAACGGTAAATTTCCATCATTGTATCATAATATATTATTTTTGTAACATTTTTGGTCTCCCAGTTCTTCATTTGAACTTTCAATAATTAATTAGGGGCATTGCTTTTTATCTTGGAAGATTTACATAAATACCACACAATGCTTATGTATTTACACATACAACCCCTAAACTTCAACTTTTTCATATTTGCCACATTTTACATGGAAAAAGTTGTATTTCATTTTTAAGAGTTAAAATAATGATACTTTTGATGTGACATGAAAAACTTTGGCGGTATAAATGTAAAAAGCAAAGTTTAGATAGCAGATATGAAACTATATAAGAATTGGGTTGCATGTATGTAAATTCCCCCACTTTGTTTATTCTCAGAGCAAGGAACCTGTTCCTAGCATGAGGCATTCTAGCAGAAGATAAAACAATTAGTTTTTATTAAAAATGCAAAATTAATAAGACAGAGTAATCTAATATTAGTGTTATTATCTTATTGCTGCAGGTATGTTTTGATAAGATTGGTTCATTGACAACCAATACTATAACCAAGCAGAGAAAGAAGCAGGAGCCGACTGTTATGGCCGAACTCGATCAAAGACTAAGAAGGCTTAATTCTGTGAAACAATATGATGAACAGTGATTTTTATCATCTATTTATATATTTGTGTAATCAGCATTCACAAATATTCTAACATTTGGTTAACAGCCAGCTTTGTAAGTTCTTCCATTTTTAGTAAAGCTTCATTTTGATTTTGTTCTTTTCAGTTACGTTATCAGAGCGGTACAATGAGCATTATAAAGCACCTCCTTAGTCTTGAAAACTCTTAATCCTGATTAGGACAGTACAGCACATCTTTCAAATCAATTAATTGCTGTACAGAATACTGCAGTGTTTTGAATGCCGTAATGGGATTAATTTGCAAGAAAAAACAAAAAATTATGATGGATTTAAGAATGATTTACATACATACTACTTGATTCCTCTGTACTCACGTATTTAACATCTAAATTTTATTTTTTTCATATATATCTCCATATCCATGCATAAAAAAAAAAAAAATTAAAAAATTAAAATAGTAGTGTTTTTTATGTGATTTAAAAGATTTGGATAGTTTGAATGTAAAAAGTTTAGTTGTTTAGAATATGTAAAAACATAAAAATCAGGTGGTGTGTATGTAAATACCTCTCGACTTATTTGATCTGAGATTTAGTCGAAAATTTATAACCTTTACAAACTAAACTAATCAGTTATGGTATTTGTATGATTTTTAATGCATTGTTAGAGCTGTAATCTACTCTTTGGCTTATACGGCTTTTAAAATTGGCAGCCATCAATTCAATCTAAAGATTTTTAATGTATTGTAGGGTGGTTTCATCTAATCTTAATTTACCCTGAATTTCAATTTGAGCTTGATTTGAGGAAAAAAATTGTTCAGGTTTTGTCCAACTATTGATATAACAGACATAGATTGATCCATTGTACTAAAAGCTAAGCTTATATATGTGGAAGATTTACATACATACAAGTCAATTCTTATGTATATATAAATTAAACACCTAAACACTGTTATTTTTTATGTGCAATGGAAGATTTCAATGGTAAAAATGTAAAATGTAAAGTTTAGGTGTTAGATATGTAAATACATAGAAATTGGGGGGTATGTATGCAAGCAAACTGAAGCAGGCATGGATAATCAATCTAGATACAATAAAATCTTCTTCCTCCTATCTCTCATGGCATCTAACAGGCAATAAACGAAATATCTTGAAGAATCTTATTTGTTGAAATCATGGGGATGATGCCAATTAGACTTCTTCAAACAAAAAAAAAGGGAAAAAAATTGTAATTAATGTGAAAACCTTATTTGATGTTTTTCTCATGATTAATTAGATTAGATGCTCTTCAGCTTAAGCAAATGATTTTTTTATTAGAATTTTTTTTTTTGATAGGAGTAAAGTCTATGCGATAGGTAAACATTATGTGTTATCTAATAATGTGTCGGATTCATAATATTGTAATTTCATGACATGTGTCACATTGAGAAACCGTAGCGAGGAAACTCCAGTGGAATTGGTATAAATGGTTTAAAACTATGGTCACATTTAACAAGTGTGAACTGTCTTGAAAGATGAATAAAATTTTAAGTAAAGACGAAGGAGGCACAATCAGGACAACAGACTTCATCTTTTTTCTTCAAATTTTAAAAGATTATGAGGTGAGTGAAATGACAAATGTAGCTCCCATAAAGCCTTTGAACTAAGGTGTCAATATGCTTCTCCAAAATAAGATCGTTTTTTTTTTCAAAATAATTTTGATTGAGCTTGAGTGTAATATAATAAGCCAAGTGACACTTCTAAATTGGGAAAATTAGTATTTAATTCCCTTTCATTCCACCATTTAATATTGTCATTGTCGGGTCCCAAGTCTTAGATGCAAAAAGTAGAGGGTTGCATTAGGTAGTCGACAACTAGCATAATTTTTTTTGTCAAAAATTCATGTCATGAATACTTTAAATCATTGTGAAAATGCTAGCACGTCTCCTGGAAGTGACACTGTTCGACATGAATACAAAGAAAAGTGTGCAAGACCACTTCACCGACACCCAGGTATAGTGTAAAATATACAAGAGTTCCCACATTATGGACAAATGCATACAAAGATGTTAGTACATTAAACTAATATTAGGATATGATGTTTGAATATAGATGCTCTCACAAGTAATTTATTGGAATTACTAGATATTATGGTTCACAGGTCGATAAATATCTTATGCATTCAAGAAACTGAATAGGTTTGAGAAAAGACTAAAGAGATTTATAGCCCAGGTTTTAAACTTTTGTATTCAGGTACGAGGCACACTAGAAATAGTGCAGGTGTAATTATAAATAAGAGTTTTATAGATAATATTGTAAAAATTAATAGAATTGGAGACATAATTAAAACACTAAAGATTATTATTGATACTAAGGTTTTTAATGTTATAAGTGCTTATACTCATCAAGTAGTTTTAGATATAGGTTTACAATAAAATTTTTAGAATGACCTAGAAGAATTAATTTAAATGATATATCTTGAAGAAAATTTTTTTATTGGAGGAGATTTAAATGAACATGTTGGCAGAGTGGTAGAAGATTTTAGAAAGATTGATTGTGGGTATGATTTTAGTGTGATTAACAAAGAAGGTAGAGTCATATTAGATTTTGTTATTGCTAATACTTTATTTAAGAAAAGAGATGAGCATATTTTTAATTATAAGAATAGATATAATAAAATAAAAATTAATTATTTATTATGAGAAAAAGAGATTGTCGAGACTATAGAGATTGTAAGGTTATTACAAGCGAAAATTTCATGACTCAACATTAATTATTAGTTCTACAATTTAAGATGAAAAATTGTAAGATAAAAAATATAATGAAACATTGTCATATAGTTAGATAGGGGTACTTATAAGACATAAATAAATTTGTTTTTATGTGTAAACTTCATAAATTCAAGTTTTTAGAAGAAGCTACTTCGATGTGGTATAAAGTGAGAAGCATTATTAAACAAGAAGTTGTACTTAAAGAATAAAAAGAAAATTTTTATATAAATACTAATAGTTGGTGGTGGAATAATAATATACAAGAAAAAATTAAAAATAAGTAGTTGTATTATAAAAACTGATTTAAATTAAATAGATAAGAGAACTGAGAAAAATATAAAGTGACCCATAAGTAGTCTAAGATAACAATTTGTGACGCTAAGAATTCTATTTTTAGTGATCTTTATAATATATTAGATAGTAAAGAGGGTGAAAAATATGTTTACGCTAGCCAAATGAAGAATACTCACAGTTTATAACATTTGGTAATTGGAATAAAGCATTAATGCGCTTAGGAGTAACTTCCACTCTTCTTCCTCGAACATAAATTTGATCAACAGAAGCTTCAGAGAAATTGACATATAATTCTCGAAAGATAGAAATTACTACTACTACTGTGAAGTAACAGAAACTTTCTTAGTGTCGGGCTATAATTAAGCTTTCAAGCACTACCCTGGGATTGAGAAAAGCCCTCTTATGAATCAAATTTTTATTCACAAGGAGATCATCGTATCTAAATTGAGCCTTCATATTGGAAAATTTCTCTAAATCGAACTCAAATCTTCCTTTTACTATGTTAGTTTTAGGGGCCATAATCTATAAAAAAATTCCAAAATATTCCACATAAATTCCAAATAATATGCTTAAACTCCCAACAACAATTTTTTTTAGGTAAGAAGCTGTCTACCATAGATTCATCACTCAATTCTTCCAAAAAATCCAAAATTTTGACACATGAGCAATGTGAGAAGAATTCATGGTGAAAATCAAAATTTTTTGCATTAAAGTGAAGCTCTTACATTAAGCAGATCAAATCTAAAGTTTTTAAGTCAAGAAATTGCCCCAAAAACCAAGATTTGAGAAGCCATAGAAAGCCTCCACACTGTTTTTCGCGAAATCAGGGAAGAAAAAGATGACGGCCTTCGTAAAAATCAAGTTTTTAACTCAGATTTTCATTTCAGTTGAACCTCCTAAGTGCCAAGCTTTTGGGTTTTTGGCACCTAAGTACCAAATTTCGGCGCTTAGGTGCCAGAGTTTGGCGCCTAGGCTCCAGTGCACAGATTTTGATTTTTCATTTTTTCGTTAAATTTCAACAACGAGCACCGCACACCAAGGCACTATGAACCTTAGCAAGCCAAACTTAACATGTTTAAACAACTTCAAACACCTAATTTTTACAAACACAAAAAAATCATTAATATTTAAATATAAATCCAATCCTCATACAAACACTAATATATGACACTCACAACCTTAAAACATTAATTTTGAAATCACTCACAGACTTTTAAACATTCAAACACTCTAAAAACTAGAAAGCCTACAAGCTCACCACAGAGCTAATGCACAACAGAGCCAAACATTTTCAAACACACATCACAACAACAAGCAAGTATAAAAGCTACTACAAAAAATCACTACAAATTGTCATCAACCTCACTATCCACTTTTCTAATATCTTCAAGCGATTGATGCACATATAAATTGTAGAAGGGATAGTTTGGGAAGTCCTCATAATCTTTATTGATCCAGTCATTCTTCTTATACATTAGAACCTGTGCTTCATGGACTACGACAATATGATCCAACTATTGTTTCATTTACCAATCTAGTTGAACAAATTGATCAATGATACACCTAATAATGTTATGAATCACTGATATCTCCTTCTTTATATTCCCCACTTCCTCCAAGATACTTGTCAAACTATTAGCACGTCGAGATGCTAATAATGTAATGATGATGTGGAAGGGCATGAAGATTGATCCATATAAGAACTTCCTTCATGTGCCATATAAAGATAGATGTTGTCACACCTCAAAATAGACTGGTGCATGGGCTTCCAGGGAAGAAGTATCTTTTCCTAACTTTCATAAGGGACATGGGCTTGCCTACAAAGTGAGAAAATAACTATAGGGTGTCCAAGCCTAGTCATTGATCCATTGAGTGCAACTCCAATAATGGATTCATAAATAAGTGCCCCCACAACAATGGGGATTGCACTTTCCTTCATTACTTCCTTGATGTTCGTAGTGGGAAGTAAATTGGAAGAAATGAAGAAGCGTCAAGGCATAGATTATGAAATTAATCTTGCAGTAGGAAAACAAACTTTGGAATTACTTCAAAATTTTCAATTCATCGTTGTCAGT